CATCTCACTTGGTTTAAGCAGTAAGGAGGGTGTTGAAGGATAAGCATTATCTTTCAGGAGTATGACTCCTAGGAGGACTCTACATGGAGGAGTAAGAGTCCTACTAGGATTGTACCACGCGGAACCTATAAAAGCTTACAACATCACCTATGGAGAGGTAACACAACTTTGATTCCTGAACATACAGAGCTTTTTGTCTATTTGTCTATTTTGCTGACTTAGGCATCGGAGAGGTATCCGACACACACCCGCCGGCTAGCTCACGTTTGTATTTTCAAGGAGTAAAGTGACGTCATACGGTGGAGTGCAGACTTAATCAACATGAGTATACGAGAATGCTTATTTCTTTCCCATACAATAGTTTTTGCCAATTGTAGGTTGATGGGATAGTTGAAGAATTCACTGATATTAATTGTGGGACGGAGAAAACTGGAACCTTTACAATGGAAAGGAAAATGCTTTTTCAATTAGTGGGAAAGGCAAATTCTAACCTAACTGATGCGATTCTTGAGCATGGACTTTTTGAGAGGCAATTTTCAACTGTAAGTATTTATGCAATTTTTTTTTTCAATTTTAATTTTAAAATCTTGTTGGCATTAAAAAATAATGCTTTCATGATTTTGAAAAGAGTACTTGTATAATATGCAATAGAGGATTTTGAGAGTGTATCCATCAGTATTACTTTTTTTTTGAAAAAATAGCTTATATTTTCCCAATTGCTTTATTACAGGATAAAAACATTGCAATTTTTTTTTTTTTTTTTTTGTTAATGTCGCTTTATTATGTTAAAGATTCAAGAATTAGAGGAATATTTTGAAGTACAAAACTAGAAACATATATAAAAAATTAAGTTACTAGTAGAAAGATTCTATAATGATTCATATTATTGAAAACAAAGTGATGAGATAATTAAAATTGAAATTTATGAATAAATGGTGTTAAAAAACAATGTAGCTGATGACAAAAATAGAAAATCTTAGATATCAAAACCTTCTCTAATACATAGAAACTGCTAAATCGCGTATTACAAACATTTATCAGTGTGTTTGGTTTGAGTTTTTTGGATTAACTTTTTTAAAAATTGAGTTTTTTGATTTTCATGTTTTTTTATTTTTAGTGAATATTTTTAAAATTTTAAACATTTTTTTTACTTTTTTAGATGCACATTACTTAGATGTATCTAAAAAGTAAAAATATTGTGAAAAAATATTTTAAAAAATTAATAAATACATAAAAATACAAAATATGTACTGAATTGTTGTATTTTTTTTTTTTTTGTATTTTTGGTATTTAGTGAATTTTTAAAATAATTTTTTTTTCAATTTTTTTACTTTTTAGGTATATTTATGTTAGATGTGTCTAAAAAGTAAAAAAAATTGCTTAAAATATTAAAAAAATTCAATAAAAACAAAAAAACACGAAAAATAAGAAAATAAAATTTTCTAAAAAGTATTTTTTAAAAAATAAAAACAAACAAGGTGTATAATCTCATTTTCTTTTTTCCACACATTGCGTATATGCGTCTCTCATTTTCCAAATCCAACCACATTGGCTTCTCTTTCCATCAATCAAGTCTACCTTCATTTCTCTTTGAAGGTGGACGAACTTGATTGATGGTCCTTGATTTGAGCCTATGTCAATAATTCAAATCATACAATATATAAAACTCGTCTAGTATATTATTTCTGTAAAAAATTATATTGATTAGATATTAATAACTACTTGATCAGATCACATTTTCAAACTAAATTGCAACAGAAGTGTAATCAGATCAAGTGGTTATCGATATTCAATTAATATAATTTTTTGCAGAAATAGTGTACTTGATGGATTGTACACATTGAATAGTTTAAATTATCGACATGGATTCATATTAGAGTCCATCAATGCCGAACACTCCTGGAGAGGAGCCATGCCTAATTATAAAATACCTTTGACAACACGAGGAAGATCATTTCACTATTTATTTCTTATTATATATTGTTTAATATTTTTACAAATCTATGTCAAAAAATTGTATCAAAACAATTTTAATAGATTATTGAACTGGACATCTGATTTTGGACCACATGACTTCATGTCAAAATGTAAATTTTTAATTTTTACTTTAAAAAAAAAAGTTCAACGATATTAACATGCATTCTCTTCATACGTAACACAATCAATCAATTACATAAACAAAAAATAATACTAAATTAAATAATACTAATTTGTTCTATATCTTATATAAGATTTTCAATTATATTCTCAGTCTCATACCACCAAAATTAGATTTTCTACAGATTCATCATATATCATTTTTTTTAATATGTGTATATATTTTGTAAATATGGAAATTACTCTCATTCGCATCGAGACTCACTTTAATTAAATATGTTCTTTCTTCTTTGCCTATTTACTATCTGTCTTTGTATAAACTACCACAACGGGTTTGTAGAGAGCTAGACAAGATTCAGGTCTCATTTCTCTGGGGAGGATCTGATTTGAGAAAGAAGGTTCACCTAGTAAAATGGAAGGAAGTATCCAAACTAGTTGCGCAAGGGCGTTTGGGGGTTAGGAGAACTAAGGAGGTCAATGATTGCCTTTTATTGAAATGGTGGTGGAGGTTTGGTGTTGAGAGCAAAGCATTGTGAAGAAGAGTTATTTGTAGTAAGTATATAATTGAGGAGGGGAATTGCAAGCCTTTAATTAGCCTTAATAGCAGGTGCTCTAAACTTTGGAAGGATATCGTATCGGGCCTTGAACAGAGTAGCAGACTGGTGGAGTTTTATGTGGATAATTGTAAGGTGAAAGTGGATAATGGCCATAGAGTCAAGTTCTGGGTTGATAAATGGTGTGTTAACTTATGTCTCAAACATGAATTCCCACTCTTGTATAGATTGGTAGTAAACAAAGGGAAGTTTCTATCTGCTATGGTGGTCAGAAAGGAGGAATCTGGTGAGTGGTTGTTCCATTTCAGAAGGGAAGGGAGCTATATGATTGGAAAAGAGTGGAGGCCACCAGATTGGTAAGCCAGTTAGAGGCTTGTCCTGTTATTAGGCAATCATCAGAAGATACACTAGTCTGGAATGCTTCTACAATTGGGAGATTTACAGTGGAATCAGTGTATAAATTTTTGGCAGGTGGTTTTAGCAACCTAAGTCCTATTAGCAAAAGCCTTTGGGTCAAGCACATTCCCCCCTAGAGTTCAATGTTTTGGTCGGCTTGCATGGAAAGGTAGGTTAAAGACTGCAGATTTTCTTATCAGGATTAGTGTTATGAATGATAATGCATCTTCAGCATGCTGTCTGTACAAATCTGTGGATGAGTCACTTAACCATGTGTTATTGTCTTGTACATTTGCTTGGAGAGTATGGTCAGCAATGCTAAGATGGTGGGGTGTTCAAGGTGCAATGCCAGAGACAGTGGAGGCTACTCTTGAGTGGTGGACAGGGGTGAGGCTAAGCAAAAAAGAGAGGATGATGTGGAAAGCTATTCCTTTAGTTGTAATGTGGTCTTTGTCGAATCATCGTTATGAGTGTTTGTTTAGGGAGGTTGTCCCTAATGAGGTTGGTGTAAGTGATCTTATTAAGTTTAGATTAGTTGTTTGGTTCAAAAAAGTATTTAAGGTCCATCTGTTCACTGTGAATGATATTGTTTCCAATCTGGGTCAAATTAGATTTTGTTTGGGAGGTGGTTCACGGGGCGTACCTTGAGGAAGATTAGTGAGGGGTGTTTGTTGTTTGTCTTGGCCTACTGGTGTATGTTTACTGCTGTTATGCTGAGAAGGAATCTAGAGTTGCCAAGAGCAAGTCAACTCAGGGCCGAAAACAAATGTGAAGGCTGAGAAGGAATCTAGTAACAAAAAGCCTAAGGCTGGTGGTGGTAGGAAGAAAAAGCAGTTGAGTTAATTGAACTCTTGCTAGATGGTGAATAGTCTACTGCTGTTTTTGTTGTCCAGATGAAACAAAACTCTTGGCCAAGCCTACCCAAAATGCATATAATCAATTTCAAGTCAAAATAACATTTTCAAGATCAATGACTATAAGATGGAGGAGTTTGCACAGGGGAGAGTTTGGACGGGTAAAGATCTCAGTTGGGATTATGAGGAGGTCTGTTGTTCTACTTCCGTTGCTGCTGCCTTTTGCTTCTTGGATGCTTAGGTTGTGATTTGTTGGTCTGCTAAGCTCTACTACTGTGTCAAGTTTAGCCTTAGTCTTAAGTTGGACTCATTTGTGGCTGGAGTTATGATATCAACCACTGATTTTGCGCAGCATACTTTAGACCAGGTCTTATTTTGCCTAAGCAATGGTAGTTGAGCTAGTGTGGAGCTGTCTGCTGTAGTGCTGTCTGATGGTTTTGGATGTTGCTATTTTTGTGTGGTGCTAGTGTTGTGTGATGGTATGCTCTGCTGCTGCTGTTTGGTGCTGTTTGGTGGTCAAGGTCATGATTTGGCGCTGGTCTGCTATGTTCTGCTGTCGAGGGTTTTTTTGCAACAGGTCTTATTTTGCTAAGGGGCTAGTAAATGGTAGGATGGCTGATTGACTGTGTTGGGATATGGTGTGGATTGGTCTGTCCTAGATGATGGTTGAATGTCTGTTGGTTGGTCTCTCACTAACTCTGTGGGTGCTAGCAAATGATCAGATGGATTTTTTGGTGCCAACCTAATTGGGATGATTTAACTCATTGTGATACTTTTGTACTCTCCTTTTCTTTATTGATATAATTTACTTTGTACTTTGTACTTGTTTATTCTATCAATAAAGTTTCTTTTTCGCCGATTAAAAAATAAATATATCTTTTGTAAATATGGTACAGCTTTTTAAAATATTTGTATATACTTTATGTTTGATTGAAGTTACTGCTAATCTTACCCTTTAATTCTATTTTTTTTTCATATATCTTTCTTGCAATATTATTTTAATAACTTTTTTCGCATTTAGTATATACTAGAATAGATACAGTATAAGAGGGAAAAAGAAAAAAAAAAAAAAAAAAAAAAAAAAAAAAACAACTAGAAGAAGAAGAAGAAAGCCATATGCCAATGGATCATATTAACCCCCACATTGATCAAGAAATACAAAAGAGTCCAAAACGAAAATGCAAAGCAGACTTATCTGTGAAGGAAGATGAAGGGTAACTGTTTATTTTATGTTCTGAAACCAGTTCACAGAACAATTTAAGGGTGAGATGTGGTGTTTAGGTAGTTACAGCAATTTCAGAGTTGAACAATTCGTCGTTGACGAAGTCTTCGGCCAGAGCAATATTGCTCCTGCTGCTTTTGTCGAGAAGAATCGCTACCATGGTATAGCGACTGAGTGTAGTAAAGTCGTTTACTATGAGGGGCTTGTAATTGTCATCTTGAAGCTGAACGCTCTTAATGAAGTGCTCTCCATCTTTGGAAAGCTGAACCTGCTTGGACATAGGCGACCATTCGTTCTCCATGCTCACTATCAAACCTTTTGGTGTGAAAGTGTTTCGACCGGTTATGCTTTTGCGGACTTGTTCCTCAATGCGTTTGAACCTTGCCACTTCTGAGACCATCTGAATGACCACAAGGAGCGGTTCTGCTACACTCCGACCGTTCCACAATCTTGTGATGGCGTCAGCTAGGGGAGTTGGTCCCAGAGGGAGTTGGTCCCTCTTCTTTGACTGCTTCTCAAGGATGTCATAGTTGCTGGTGTAGCTTAACTTGGTTTGTTTGGTGTCGACAAATAAATTTTTGAGTTGAAGTGTCGTAGCGTCTTTGAAAAAGTAGGATTTGTTATTTGCACCACTAAAAGCCACCACATAAAGGTTTACCACATCTATTGCCAAGGTGACTGTGTCGCCATTGATGAGACGGACCAGAACGAATCGGTTCCCAACTAGCACTTTACTTTCGGGATTCAGCACTGGTAGACCATCTACTGTACGGGTTCCCCGTGACACGATTTCTCGCAGTTCCCCTATGAAGTCTCTGTATGAGGCCTCGGTGGCACCCGCCACATTGAAGGAGATGGAGGGATAGGCTGCGAGAACAACAATGTATAATATGCTGCTACACTCTCATCTTGCTATACTTGCTATACTTGCTAAGGATATATAGTCATATATATTTATATATGATACACTATATATATTATATTCATGTAATTTGATGCTCAACTATATATTCATATATATATATATATATAAATAATATTAGAAATTATGAAAACAATATCATAAAATTTTTTTATGAAGATTTCTCCTCCTTTGATTAGTGTGTGACATTTTTTTGTGTGTATAATATAACGGTGGAGAAACTTTCATGATCATTACACACACTATATTTATTATATTCATGTAATTTGATGACCCACTCTTAACTCTTCGTGGCAGATTGCCATGTGAAGGCCACCCGCCCTCATTGTTCACACGGCCACTTGCGAACATGATTTACCATACCCATGATGCAAGAAATTTATATTAAGATGATGACCATACAAAATTACTTTCAAAATATAGTTATTAAATGCATGTGCCAATAAAAGCTAAAGTATAGCAATAAAGATTTTAAATCTTGTGGATGAATTCATAGATAATAAAAATTGCTATAAAAAATTTTTTTTAAAAAATGAATGAAATTTGAATCTTTCTATATTTTTTTTTCTTATGCGGAATCAAAGTCTAAGATCTTCAAGTAATTAATTTTACTAGCTAATTTTATACACCTCATTTGGGACGTAAAGATTTTAACAAAAAAACTAAATAAGTTCAGATTTGCTAAAGGTGAAAATCTCAACTTTATGGTGAAATCGACCCATTATGAGCCTAATTTGGACTCATTGGCTAATTTAAACCGTTCATCTCATACAATTAACTAAGAAAATTGTTAATGCAAAAAATTAAGATCAAATATCAATTGTCATATACCATCAGATCATTTTTATCTATACGGTAATACATGATTTTAAAAATAGTCCATCAATTTGTTATAAAATATATGTGATTTGATTATGTGATTGGCTATGCCTGATAAATTCAATTTTCGTATACATATTTTTCTCAACTTGTCATCTAAGGTGAACAGTTCAATTCACTAAGATGAGTACAAATTGATCTCATAATGCACCAATTTCACTTGTAAAGTTGAGATTTTCTACTTGAGCAAATCCAAACTTTTATTTCCTATATGTTTTTTTAGTCAAAAGCCAGAAACAATTTTCCAAATATATTGATTTTTCTACCTCAAATTTGAGCCAAAAAACAAAAAACAAAAAAATAATTAAAATAGCCACTTATATGGGAAAAAAATTAATAAAATTAAAAGGTAGATGAGTATGTAAATTAACATGCGAACTATCTAGGTTTAAAACCACATTCTTCTTTTTTTAACAGAGGTTTAAAACCTTCAAATACGCTTGGTTGTCGATGGCATCGTTTGGAAAGTTGGTTATGTTAGTAGGCTATTTTAATTTTTGACTATTTTAGTAAGTTAAAATTTTTATATTTGAGAAGATAGTTGAATTTTTTTATAGTTAGATGTGATGTTTGTGAGAAAAAAAGTGAAATTTTATGGATTTAATGTGATATTTTGTCTTATTGATTATTTTAATTTATTTTATCTTTTTTTCTTTTGTAAATTTTAACCCAAAAAAAACCAAAAAACCACTTGTCAAACTGGGCCTATGTCAATGTTTTTTATTTAAATAATAAAATTACCACATTAATATTGCAGTGTTTTTTTTCCTATATAAATTTTTTCGATGGATTTTCCGAATACAAAGGAAATGAAGTATAATAATGGCCTATAGCATCTAGGCGACAGAAAGAGTTGGTTTCAAATTTTCAAAAAAGGACCTAGAAAATAGTGAATGAATATCAACAAAATAAAAGGGCAAAAAAGTAATTGAGCTCTGCTACAGAGCCCGAAAGGGTTTCGAGCCAAATTTGGCTCGAATTTGAGAAGAAGGAGGAAGAAGAAGAAGGGAAGGAGGGGGAGTTAGATGTGATGTTTGTGAGAAAAAAAGTGAAATTTTATGGATTTAATGTGATATTTTGTCTTATTGATTATTTTAATTTATTTTATCTTTTTTTCTTTTGTAAATTTTAACCCAAAAAAAAACAAAAAACCACTTGTCAAACTGGGCCTATGTCAATGTTTTTTATTTAAATAATAAAATTACCACATTAATATTGCAGTGTTTTTTTTCCTGTATAAATTTTTTCGATGGTTTTTCCGAATACAAAGGAAATGAAGTATAATAATGGCCTATAGCATCTAGGCGACAGAAAGAGTTGGTTTCAAATTTTCAAAAAAGGACCTAGATCTCTTTCTCTCCCTCTTCCTCTGCATTGCAGAGGTCGAAAATGGCAGAAAAAAAGAAAAAGAAAAAAAAAAAAACGGAATGCCCAAAACGACGTCGTTTTGGGCATTCGAGGCATTCAAGCCAGGCATTTCGGGCCCTCAAACATTTTCCAAAGTAATTACATTTAAAATTTCACATCACATATTGCATTTAAGGGCTTAGATAGGTTAATTATCCAAAACATCCTGACCTTAAATGTATTCAAAGCTCAAACACTGAGGGTATTATTGACAAAAATGACAAAATAGAAGCCATTAATGAATAGTGATTTCATTGTTCAAAAGGCTTCAATTGCCTTATATTATATTAGTTGCGAGGCGCCGTAATTCGCACAATAGCCCATGCCCATAGTTGAAGCAATCACAAATTGCTTGATTTAAAACTTATATCCATCTAAAAGGCATTTGTGAAAAGAAAGAAAAATATATAGAAAAAGTATAAAACAAAAGAAGTTTTTTTCACTTTTTCCTTTTTTTTTTTTTTCTTTCGGTCCACAAATCTCTAATAAAAAAACTTTAATCAAGCACTAAAAAAAAAGAAGTTCAAAATCTTGAAAACACAAGGGTAGTAAGATAAGGAATCAAATAACATTAAAAACTGTTAGGTATTGCATATAATCAATAAGCTAAACTAGAATAGAGTAAACTATTTCCCTAATAACAAAATGAATTCATACAAAGTGATCACATATCAAAGAATGATTGTTGAACAAAGCAAAATTTATGAACCTAACTAAAATACCAAAAACAGATGAATCGTAAAACAAAAATAGACACTTCAACAAAAGAAAACAAACCACCCTCAAGGTGTTCCAACACAAAGCACCGGCTTGTGTCTTTAGGTACTTCATAAAATTTGCATGGCATTTAGCTTGAAGAACAACTACATAAGGAACAAGGAGACTCAAAGCGCTTGTCAATTGCAAGAAGCTCAAAGTGAGATCTAAGTTCTAATTCTAGAAGGTACATAAAACTCGACCTTCTTAATAATATTACGTTATATCCTGTGGCACATGGAATGGCTTATATGGCAACCCAAGGTAACAAATCCACCTTTGCACCATTGAAACCATCTAGGTGTAGAAGAGCCAATAATAGAAACAATGTTTTTGTTTGTACAATTTAATCTCCCACTCTTTTCTCCACTCATTTTAGGCAATTTATCAAACATGTTAAAGTTTAGAATGATACAATCTATAAGAGCTGAATCAGAAGTGCATAAAAAATAAAACTCTGCACATTCCACTTTGAAAACCAATAAAACACCCAATCAGATAAAAAAAAAAAAAGAAAGTTTCTTTTTGTCATCGTCCAAAGAGAGAGACGCAACTTAGATGCGAGAAGTGAGAGATACAAAGGAAGGCAAGATTTGGAATGACTTTCTAATTTTTTACTGAAAAAATGTGCAAAAAAACAAAGTAAAAAAAATAAAAATGAAATCTTTAATTTTTTCATATAAGTTGTTGGTTTTTTAATTTTTTTAGTGACTTTTTAACTTTTAAATTAAAATAATGAGTTGCCAAATGAGACCTAAATCTAACCCCACCATCATGACACTCTCTTTTCCTTCCCTCCCAACTACGTGACCCCTATCAGAACTAGTGAGAGTTGCTGAAGAGGGTGGATAGAGGTCGCTTGAGGTTTTTGTTTTTATTTTTATTTTTAAATTTTATTCTAAAATGCCTTCTTTTTAAGGCACTACAAAAGGATTACATCTGCGCTACAGAGGATCCAGATTCGCCAGTGACATAGCAAGACCACCACTACAGGTGAGGAAGGTCTGGTCCATTTCAATGGTCACAGACTCACAGTTTAATGGATGAACACAACGTAAAGAACTAAAGTGGGAATCTTCTATCTATCTATCTATCTATCTATCTCTACTCACCAAGGTTTTAAAAAGCGACCGCAACCGTTACGTGTTTGGGAACAGACAAATGAAGCATAATCCATATAACTCCTCAACTGGAAAGTGAACTAAGATTAATCTCGATAAGCATACCCCTAAAAAAAAGCGCAACTAATAATGCTTAATTATCACCCATATATTTGACATATATTTATAAATTGTTGCTTCTTCTAAGAATTGAAAATTAAAGAAAGTAAGCAGTGCTTCTAGGTTAAACATAAGCAAAATCAAAACATTTATAACATATAAAGAATTAAGAAGCAGTTTTGTTAAAAAAATTAGGTCAATTCTACAAGAATTCGAAAGAGAGAGAAGTTCTCTCCATTCTCAATGTCTAAAAGTTTGATCATTTACAAAAATTTAAAAGCAAATTAAAGCAAGTAAATGTAATACTTAGTTGTGTATGATGAGGTTTAAAAAAAGTAGATGATACGATGATAGGTAATTTTGTATAAGTACCTCTGTTCGACATGATAGGAAGCTCCTAGCGACGTCTTCTCTCTGAAAGTAAAGAAAGAAAAAATAACAATAAATGTCTGATAAACATAAATATATACACTGGCTAGTTGAAAGGGAAAAATATTAGCCAAAGAATCAAATCCATAGATTTTCTTCTATATTCAAAACCAGCAATTTCAAAGTATCATATATAACAACTACATAAATAAAAATATATACACACAGATTTTAACATGCTCTAATACAATGAATGGCTACTTCCTTCTGTTGCAGCACATGAATTTAGGTCCAACCTTTGTCCAAAATTAAAAACGAATTGTAATCAAATGTAAAGGATCCCATATATGCAATAATATAAAAACTGAAAGGCATCACCATGTTTCTTTGTTTTTTTGGGGGTTACCATTATAATCTAAATGATTTCTACAATTGTTCACACTTATATTTCCTTATGTAGCAGCATATTATATATATATATATATATATATATCAATTCCTTCAATTTTAATATCCTCTAATAAAAAAACTTTAATCAAGCACTAAAAAAAAAAGAAGTTCAAAATCTTGAAAACACAAGGGTAGTAAGATAAGGAATCAAATAACATTAAAAGCTGTTAGGTATTGCATATAATCAATAAGCTAAACTAGAATAGAGTAAACTATTTCCCTAATAACAAAATGAATTCATACAAAGTGATCACATATCAAAGAATGATTGTTGAACAAAGCAAAATTTATGAACCTAACTAAAATACCAAAAACAGATGAATCGTAAAACAAAAATAGACACTTCAACAAAAGAAAACAAACCACCCTCAAGGTGTTCCAACACAAAGCACCGGCTTGTGTCTTTAGGTACTTCATAAAATTTGCATGGCATTTAGCTTGAAGAACAACTACATAAGGAACAAGGAGACTCAAAGTGCTTGTCAATTGCAAGAAGCTCAAAGTGAGATCTAAGTTCTAATTCTAGAAGGTACATAAAACTCGACCTTCTTAATAATATTACGTAATATCCCGTGGCACATGGTGTTGGCTCCATCCACTACCCACATGGTAATGGAACCACCATTCACATAGTGTGGGTAGCACCATGTTGTAAAAGAAGATGGTGGAGGGCTACACCAACCCACTATGGAATAATAGAAACAATGTTTTTGTTTGTACAATTTAATCTCCCACTCTTTTCTCCACTCATTTTAGGCGATTTATCAAACATGTTAAAGTTTAGAATGATACAATCTATAAGAGCTGAATCAGAAGTGCATAAAAAATAAAACTCTGCACATTCCACTTTGAAAACCAATAAAACACCCAATCAGATAAAAAAAAAAAAAAAAGTTTCTTTTTGCCGATCAAATAAAATGATAGAAATTAGAGAGTGAGAGCTGTGAGTTGAGTGAGTTTCATCTCCTCCTCTGTATTTGTATTTTTGCTCCATTTAAGTGATAATTCTCATTTCTGTCCGTGGATGTAGGCATTGGGCCGAACCACGTAAATATTGTGTTCTCTGTGTGTGTGAGATAAGTTTCTGGGTGTCTTTGATCCTAACACATGGAATGGCTTATATGGCAACCCAAGGTAACAAATCCACCTTTGCACCATTGAAACCATCTAGGTGTAGAAGAGCCAATAATAGAAACAATGTTTTTGTTTGTACAATTTAATCTCCCACTCTTTTCTCCACTCATTTTAGGCAATTTATCAAACATGTTAAAGTTTAGAATGATACAATCTATAATGCTATGTTTGGTTGGGGGATTTAGGAAGGGATTTGGAAAGGAAAAGGGAAAAGGTGTGTGAAACTAGGTGAAATGAAAGTATATTTTATTTACATTTCACCTAACTTTTCCCTTTCCCTTTCCAAATCCCTCCTCAAATCCTCCAACCAAACATAGCGTAAGAGCTGAATCAGAAGTGCATAAAAAATAAAACTCTGCACATTCCACTTTGAAAACCAATAAAACACCCAATCAGATAAAAAAAAAAAAAAAGTTTTTTTTTGCCGATCAAATCTCTTTACACTTTTTGTTTTTAATTGACAAAAAGCCCTATGACTACATCAGCAACTTTCTTGCGTGTTGTTGGAAGTGAATTAATACAAAAATACCTGGGTGATGGTCCAAAGTTAGTGAGGGAACTTTTCAGGGTTGCTGATGATCTCTCACCTTCAATTGTGTTCATCGATGAAATTGATGCAGTTGGCACAAAGAGGTATGATGCCCACTCAGGTGGTGAACGCGAAATTCAGAGGAACATGTTGGTACTGCTGAGCCAGCTTCGGCCTGGTAGAATAGATAGGAAGATAGAGTTCCCACTTCCCGATATTAAGATTTGGAGGCGCATGTTCCAGATACACACATCTAGGATGACGTTGGCTGATGATGTCAACTTAGAAGAATTTGTTATGACCAAGGATGAGTTTTCTGGAGCCGATGGAGCCGATATATATTTTTTTTTTGATCGGCAAAAACAAAATCTTTATTGATGAAACACACAGATTATGGAAAGAATTGGGTATTAATTTCTGTGGGCAAGAAGAGGGTGTGGTTGAGAAGATTCTTGAGCTGGAGCGTAAGGACAAAGAGAGATTTTTAAAGGATGGAAATGTTTAGCTGTAATAGCAGTGCGCAATGGGTGTGTGAGGTTGGGTGTTTGTAGTGTGAGGTGTATCAGAGTAGAAGAGTTGTTCCATGGGTGTATCGGTTGGGTGTTTGTAGTGTGAGGTGTATCAGAGTAGAAGAGTTGTTCCATGGGTGTATCGGTTGGGTGTTTGTAGTGTGAGGTGTATCAGAGTAGAAGAGTTGTTCCATGGGTGTATCGGTTGGGTGTTTGTAGTGTGAGGTGTATCAGAGTAGAAGAGTTGTTCCATGGGTGTATCGGTTGGGTGTTTGTAGTGTGAGGTGTATTAGATTGCAGTGTGCAGTGGGTGTTTCTGATAAGTAGTGTTTCTGATAAGTAGTGTGCAGGGTGCAGTGGTGTTTGTAGATTGGGTATTTGTCCTTGGGTGTATTAGATTGCAATGGGTAAAAGTAGTGTTCTGCTCAGTGTTACTTGTATTTTGTGGGGGTTGTTAGTGAGGCTGTTATCCTCTGTTTTTATGTTAAGTTCTTCTTAACCTCTATTTTTATTCTATGTATAAAAAAGTGTGAGGCGGAGGGGGCTGGTTGTTTGGGCGCGAGTAGCAGTAGTAGGGGTAGTTTGTACCTTCCGAATCTCTCTCGGTGCGCCTCATCTTCCTGTACTCTTAATTTTATGCTGTTAATGAAATTTTCCTTTGCTGATCAAAAAAAAAAAAAATGTAAAGGATCCCATATATGCAATAATATAAAAACTAAAAGGCATCACCATGTTTCTTTGTTTTTTGGGGGGTTACCATTATAATCTAAATGATTTCTACAATTGTTCACACTTATATTTCCTTATGTAGCAGCATATTATATATATGTCAATTCCTTCAATTTTAATATCCTAGGCCATGGGCTTTCAGTATAAGTCTGAAAAATTATAGAAATCATTTAGATTATATAAATCATATGCAGGTACATAAGGAAAAAATGAATACTTGCATTAATCCAAATAGATACATATAAAGGATTGTACAGTTAAAATTTTAAAGCACATAGACAAAGACAATGCTCCATATCATGCATGAATAATAGTCAAGTACAGTGCAGAAAATAACTGAGTTAAAATGATGACAATACCCAAAGCTAATGTTCCAAAAAGAAATTGGCAACAAGAAATTAGCTTCAAGGGGTTGGAATGTTTTCTTCTTGAATGTCCCCCTAAAAAAATTTATGTTATGAGATTACTGGAAGATTAAAAAAAAAAATGAATATAACAGCAACTCAATTTCTTCCCACCTTTATTAAAAGGGGAAATTGCACCTCAGTAATATTTTTCAAAAATAATTACAGATTGATGAAAAAATTTAACACTTTAATTATTAAAGTTCATAAAATTTATCGCGAAACCCACAAATCCATGTCCGGCAAAAAAAAAAAAAAATAAAAATAAAAACATCGTTCTCATAAATTATGTAAAGAAACCAAATGAAAGAGAACATCGGCGTTGTTGACGTGAGTAACAGGACATATATTCGTAGACAAAAAAAATAATCATAAAAAATAAAAATAAAAAACAAAAAGAAAATTTTTGACTTTTTCATATAAGTTGTTGATTTTTTAATTTTTTTAGTAATTTTTTTATTTTTAAATTAAAATAATGAGTTGCCAAATGGGACCTAAATCTAACCCCACCATCATGACACTCTCTTTTCCTTCCCTCCCAACTACGTGACCCCTATCAGAACTAGTGAGAGTTGCTGAAGAGGGTGGATAGAGGTCGCTTGAGGTTTTTGTTTTTATTTTTATTTTTAAATTTTATTCTAAAATGACTTCTTTTTAAGGCACTACAAAAGGATTACATCTGCGCTACAGAGGATCCAGATTCGCCAGTGACATAGCAAGACCACCACTACAGGTGAGGAAGGTCTGGTCCATTTCAATGGTCACAGACTCTCAGTTTAATGGATGAACACAACGTAAAGAACTAAAGTGGGATCTTCTATCTATCCATCTCTACCCACTTAACTACAAGTGGGTTGGCAACAAGTTTCCAAGTGCCCTCCAGGTGATGGCCCCACGTGGCCACGTCTCGTCTCCTATTCTATCTTTTGTTTTGTTCTTTTTTTTTGCTTTTATTTATTTATTTTATAATAAAAATTTAAAATTGTTTGTATTCATATAATGTCAAATAAAAAAATATTTATAAGAAAAAAATTAGTAAAATTTATGAAAAACGAATTTTATTGAGTTTTTTCAACATCTTTAACTGCCTTGAAGAATTTTTAGTGGGAATCTTCTATCTATCTATCTATGCCCACTTAACTGGAAGTGGGTTGGCAACAAGTTTCCGAGTACCCTCCATGTGATGGCCCCACATGGCCACGTCTCCTATTCTATCTTTTGTTTTTGTTTTTGTTTTTTTCCTTTTTTTTTATTTATTTATTTTATAATAAAACTTTTAAATTGTTTATATTCATATAACATCAAATAAAAAAAAATTATAAGAACAAAAATTAGTAAAATTTATGAAAAGCGAAATTTTATTGAGTTTTTTCAACATTTTTAAGTGCTTTGAAGAATCTTTGTATAGAGTTTCAAAATGTTTTTAAAAAAAAATTCTTAAAATTTCTCGAGTGTTTCATCTATATTCTAAGTTTTTCGGGAAAACAAATTTTGTCTAATACTTTTTTTTAAGTTGTTTTTATATCATGAGTTTGTATCTCAAACTTTTTTTTATTTTTTTTATCCATGAATTTTTATATAAATTTATAATTTAAACACAATCTTCAAACTTAATGAGTTACGTCTACATTTAAACGAGTTTTCGTGGAAACAAATTATTTATAATATCAAAAATGTTAACGGAAAATAATTTTATTAGAATGAGAAACCAAAACACAAAGTAAAAAAAAAGAAAAGAACATACAAACTTACAATGGGTCACGATCGTAGAAGCAGATTGGACACAACATTCACTAAACACATACACACATTGAGCACACTCGAACTCAAATTCTAAATACACTCAAATTTTCTCACACTATAGTCACACTATGATATTACACAATAGTCTTTGATATTGAGAAAAGCCTGCCTTCTTTGGAAGAATGGTTGGCCTTTATAGAGATAGAAGCCCGGAATTGAAATGAATTGGAGTCCGGGAAGAATCTGCTTTTGCTTGTCTTTTGCTTTGTCCTTTGAGCATCTTTGTCCTTTGAGAATTACTCCGTCGGTGGAGTTTTGCCCATTGTGAATATTATTGTTCTTGAAAGCAGTATTGATTGGATTGCTATACTTTATTTATGAGTTGGCTTGCATTGAGTTGGCTCGCTTTTTTTTTTTTTTTTTAGATCACAAATTGTTAAGATCTACACCTTGACATGTGTCAGAGTAATCGTCATCAAGGTGTTGAGTGGGAATCTTTGGTGGTGATGTTGTAGAGTTAATGGGAGAAGATATTTTGGGTGAGGAAGAGTAATCGTCATCAAGGTGTTGAGTGGGAATCTTTGGTGGTGATGTTGTAGAGTTAATGGGAGAAGATATTTTGGGTGAGGAAATCGTCGGTTGCTTAGATTGAGAGAGAATTGGAGGAAGGGTTTTTAATACAATATCATCTTCAAAGTCAAAAAATGACTCTGCATCGACCATAAGAATCATTTTCATTTTGATGGCTTTCTTGTATATGTGTTCAAATTCAGATTTTGAAATTGAGAGATATTTTTTCTTTAATTTTTGTTTTAATTCAGACTTAAAAGCATTATTGTCAAAAGACTTATTGGAGTTTGGACTGGAAGACATTACTGAAGGGGCTGTATTAATAGCAGATTTTTTCTTACAGTCTTTGTAAAAGGAAAACAATTTATCAGGGTATTGTTCAGATGGAATCTTGTAATTTTTCCACCATTTAGTTGCAATTTGGCGAGCAAGATAATTGGTATTGCCAAGTACTCGAATAGTATATTTATAGGCCATGATCCATGGAAATTTAAAATCTATTGTGAAATATAAAAATTCTAGATAAGGAGGATTAGCATCTTTCGGTAAATATGATAAGATTCTTGAAGAGGGGCTGGTAAAGCCTTGAAATTGTAGACCGAATTGAGTCCACCATGATTCAAACCAAGTGGGAATTGCTTTAGTAACAATATCAAAATTGGGTCTAAAACAAATCCACCAAGAATGCTAGAAGAACCGATTTTGAAAATAAAAAACATGGTACCAGGCTTGCTGGTAGTCATAATAATTGTACTGATTGGGTTTAATATTAGGATCAGAAAATTTGTGAAAAATAGTGGGATGAACCTATTCCCCAGGAGAAATGATCTTGAGTGTATAGAGTTTAGAATATTGAAGAAGACTTTTATCTTCCCTAGAATGGATGTGTTCAATGGTGATGGAGGGAGTTTCTTCAAGAATTTTTTCATAGCGAATACTAGAGTGTTGGCCAGAATGTTGAGGATAATGCCAATTGTTAGAAAAGTAATGATAGATGATGGTTTTTGGTTTAGTGTTTGAGTTTTTGAGGAAAAAGATTTTATGGTTTGCAGTTATGGGTGTAATAGGATAAGCAATATCATGAGTATAATACCCATGAGTAGCAAAGGTTTGCCTGGAATTCCTCTCTTAGAGGAAGTAGCTTGTGAGGGATTATTGAGTCGAGAGGCCATCCAGTAGAAATATTCTTGAACACGGATTTTTTGTTTTTGATGGTGGCTGATAGCTTGAGTTTGAGATGTCTAGAGTTCCCTGCAGAAATTCTCGAGTAAGAAAGTCAGGGAGACAGTTGGATTCACCGCCAATATATTCAATTTTAAAATCAGAAACACATAACACTGCTTGCCAGCGGGCAAAAGCTTGTTGAGAAACAATGTTCTTGGCATCCTTTTCTAAAACTTCTTAGGCGGCTTTGCAATCAATACGTAGTAAAAAGTCTTGATTTAATAAACCAGATTCAAATTTTTTGATACAAGAAACAATAGACAAAATTTCTTTCTAAATAGTAGAATACCGTACTTGTGGTCCTTTCCATATTGCAGAGGTAAATCGAACTAATTGTTCTCTACCTTTATATAATTGCTTGAGAATGCCTCCATAACCGATATCGCTAGCATCTGTTTCTACAATTTTGTAAGCAGTAGGAATTGGCAAGCATAATAAAGGTAGGAATTTGGCACGTTGTTTGATCCATTAGACAACCACAGTGTGTTCATGGGTCTAGGGAGAAGGATTTTTGCGGAGACGAGTATGTAAGATTTTTGTATCTTTATGGAGATCTTTATAAAATTCTGAAATATAGTTTAAACTGCCGAGAAACCTTTGCAATTTGATTTTATCACGAATTTCATCTGGAACTTTGTTAGCAAATTCAATAGATCTTTGGATGGAGATGATGGTGGCTTTGTTAATTATGTAACCAAGAAAACGAATGGACATTTGAAACAGTTGCATTTTCTTAGCACTAAGGACTAAATCATTATTTTTAATAATATTGTAGAATTTATATAAATGTTTGCTATGTTGAGAAACATAATTGGAATAAATTAGGACATCATCAATGTAAGCAAGACAAAATGCAGTATAGGGATTAAAAATATCATTCATAATATTTTGAAATTCAGAGGGAGCATTTTTTAGGCCAAAAGGCATTACATTCCACTCGTAATGGCCAAACGGAACAGTGAAAGTAGTTTTATACCTGTCTTTCTCGAAGATTTGGACTTTCCAAAAGCCAAATTTCATATCAAACTTTGAAAATATTTTGGCTTCATGAAGACGGTTTAATAAATCTTTTTTTATTGGGGATTGGATATCTAATCCATTGTAAAACTTTGTTAAGTGGTTTATAATTGCCAAGTAGTCTAGGTGTACCTCATTCTAATTCAACATTTTTGTTGGCGTAGAAAGCAGGACAAGACCAAGGAGATTTATTGGGATGGATTAATTTTTTTATTAAGGAGATCATTGATTTCATGTTTCCAACATTGCATTAATTTTTTGTCCATTTGAATTGGTCTAGATTTTGTAGGGATTTGTCGTCCATTGAAATCTTTTTCATATGAGAGATCAACCATGTGTTGTTTGCAGTGCCAAAAACCATGAGGTAGTTCAGAACTAAATTTTTTTCAAATAAAGATTGTATTTTTTGAATAATAGATTGGACATGAGGTTGTTGTAGTTCATGGTCAACCACTTTGTAGGAAATTTCTTTTTGTAATAAGCAGATTTTTTTTTTTGTTTGTAAATGAGATTTCTTTTGAAAGTATTGATTTCATGTTCCTGAGGAGGAAATAGGAATTTGAAAACTATGTCATGATTGATAAGAGTAGTGGAAACACCTTCGTTTGTAACAGTAAAAGGTGCAATCATAGTTAGGAAAGGGGTACCTAATATAATTAATTAAGACATATTTTTAACTAATAGGAATTCTGTATTGAGACATATACCTTGGTTGCAAATTTGTGCATGAGATATTTTGTAACTAATTTCCATGGAGTCACCATTAGCAGTACTGAGAGATTGATAAGTTTTTTCAAAGTATTTGAAAAGTACTAGACCTTCTCGAATACAATTGAGGTCAGCACTAGAATCTACCAATGCCATTGTTTTTAAGATGAAATCATGAATGTGATGTTGTTAAGGAGTAAGTTGACAAAATCAATAATAACAAGGGGTTTTTTGTTAGGTTGTTTGTTGGATAATTCTTGGAGATGTGGTTCATAAGGAAATACTGTATCGGCAAGAAAATCATTGGTATCAACAGGATTTTCTTTAAAAGCTAAGACTCTAGATTAGAGATTTTGAATATCAATTTTAAGATTATGAATTTCATTTTGTAAGTCTTAAATTGTGGGTATGTTTAAGGGAGTAGAAACTTTATTGACTCGATCAAGGACATCTTTGAAATCATATGTATCATATTTTAATTCTTATGTGGTATGGGTTGTTAGAGTATTTTTTGTGTTTTGAGTTTGAATATTTAAACATGGCTTGTTGTTTTTTCTCAAGATCATCTATACTATCAATAAATTCAAGAATCATTTTTTCTTGTGCCATGAGTACATTAATACTAAGACCATTCATTTCTAAAATGGCTTTATAATAATCTATTGTTGAATGGCATTGACAATCATGAGAGGATTCTGGATGATCTTCGGGTTCTTCATCAGAAGAGGTAATAATATCATTATTAATTTCATCTAATTGAAAATCATTATCAAATGGATTATCAGAAGAGTATTCTAATTCAGATTAGGGTTCTTTGTCAAGAAGAATGATGGATTCTAATTGACTTTTGAGTTCATCGGAGGCCTGAAGTTCATGAATTTTCTTTTTAGTGAGACATTTGTTTGCATAGTGGCCTGATTTGCCACATTTCCAACAGGTGGCAGATTTCTTAGAGCAACTGGGTTTGGATTTGGATGTAGATGTATTTTTTGGGTTGGAAAATTTTCTCTTTTCGTAATAAGGTTTCTTTTTACAATTGGAAAATTTGTGATAATATTTTTGGGATATGGATTTTCAAGATTCGCAACTAGGAGTTCGTCAAGAGGAAGGGCAGGTACTGGAGGAAGAATAGGGTTGTAACCAAATTGGTAATAAAATTGATCAAGGTCTGTACGTCCAGTAGTTCTTTCTTTTTTCTATTGATTTTCGAGTTTAATATCATTGCACAGGAAGAGACTTTCTTCACAGATTTCAAAGATGAGTCCAGCAAAGGTGTATTGGTTTTATGGAATTTGACTATTATGTTTGGCATGAATACAAGTTTTAACCTCTTCAGCAAATAATGTTAGAAGACCAGTTATGAATCGTTCTTTCCAAAAATCTTGATTTGCATCATGTCGTTGATAGAGTTTAGAGAGGAAAATATCCTTATGCCAACGAAAATGAGTAAAGGTTAAATCAATGAGGAGTTCTTTGGATCGTTCAAGAACAATCTGGGTATTTCCAGTAAAATGTTGTGTGATGGCGGTAACCAGAGTGGTTACTACATCACTAGTAGGTTGTCGTGTCGTAGGATCTAAAATAGGGATATTATTATGGTGTCTTTTAATAGCGGTTAATATTGCTTGACGTTGGTCATGGGTGAGGTAATTATCCCACCAA